GCACACCTGTTAAAAGCTTGGTCAAAGGCCCAATGAGTTCAAGCTGTATCATGTATTGATATCTTTATATTGTTACAAAAACACACTGCGACAATCTACTGGATCTACAGTTTAAATTGAATAAATTACATGTAATATAGAACATTTTCATTCAACTATTTTTCTTGCAATAATAGCGGTTGGTCAACTTTCTTTTGTCTGTTACTGAGAGAGAAAAAGAAGAAACTGGAAAGAAATCTGCAAACAATCAGATAAACAGGTTACAGTTTAGTTATGGAGCAGCTAAAATGCTGTTGCTGTTTGTAAAAATATGGAATGGACAATGAATCTCCTTGATTTGAGACAGTACTTACAAACTAATTCACTTTAGGTTTGCCATGAATACTTGATAAAAAAAAAAGAATATTCTCTACAAATCAGCTTAGTGATTAGTTAGTGATTTTAATGGCAAACAGGGTTTGTTAGAAAGCCACAAGAGGCCATGTGTTACTTTGATTTTACCACAGTTAAGAAGTGTTGTTGGGCACAGTAAAAGCTCAGTAAAATCCTTTATCTGTGGTAAACTCACAGCCTCAGATTCTTTACTACTTTTAGAACACAGTGACAAAATGCAATATGATAAAACACACCAATGTTTAATAAATGATTTCTTTTTTATGAACAACAATGATAATAATAACTGCAACAAACAATTCTTCCACCAAATACTGTAGTCCGCTAATAGTAGGCAATGGCTGAGCAACATGAATTTATTTAGATATTTTATCTAGTTGATGTTTGTGGTCATAAAGGGGTGCCAGAAAGTATTTGGACATTTGTGCCATACTTAAAAATATATTAAGTTCACTGTGTTGGGAAACAACATGTAAAAGCAGGTGGCATTTATTTTAAACAGACTGTTTCACTGTCTTTTATTTTGGGGTATGTAATCTTTCAAAATGTGGCAGGTTTGTTTCAGATCATCATGGTTTAAGCTGGTTCTTTAAACATGTTTGCAGATTTGTGTCCAAAATGTCACAATCCCATCTATGAACACAAGCTCACTGACAGCATGTTGTGAAGGAACCTAATGGTTTACCAATTAACTCATAGTCAAAGTGTCCAAATACTTATTGGGTAATGTATGTGGAATGTGGACTATTTTACACTGACTTTAGCCATTGCTTTTAGAACTGTAACTTTATAAAAACAATTCTAAAATGGTCTGGAATTAATTAATCAATGATTAATGATTATTAAAGTAAATGTTTTGAGGTTCATTGTTCTACAGTATAACAAGATTCTACTATTCAACAAGATCTGTATGACACAACCACGGCGTCTCATTACGACTGCAGTGGAGCTGTTGTGGCCTCCCTACTCCAGCAGCCTGGGTCATTACGGTGGTCACTGCACTGTTAACAACCCTCCTACTGTTACTCAGGAAACCTGTAATGGGGAAGACATTCAGTTATGGACAATTAGCTTTACAGTGCTGCTCACAAAAATGACCATTATTAGGCTGAGTTTAGGCTCAGACGTCATGATGTGCTCACTCTTCACCTTTAAATATGCTCTTAGTCGCTCTCTGCACCATGTTCTACTGCAGATCAGATTATTTGGGTGGTGGATTGTTCTCACTGCAGCGACACTATGAGTAGTTTTGTATGGACGTTGGGAAGCAAACTCCCTTTAGATTTCCAGGGAATTTCTGTTACTTCAACAGGGCTACAACAGGGCTGCCTAGAGTGGGGCCTGTGGGTCAAAGTTGGCCTGCAAGGACGTTTGATTTGTCCCAACAGAATGTTTTCTAACCCCCCCAACCCCCCACTCCCTCAGCTAATGTATAACTATTTTTTCAGTGTCTTATTGTTCTTTCAAAATGCAATGTTTAAGTACTTTTAGTCATAAAACACTGAAGAACAGGGTAAAAGGGGGCTAACAAAGTATGAAAAGAAACAGATGGACTTCAGTCTGTAATTGTAGAACTACAAAGTGCTCTTATAAGGTAAGCAGAGCTGATAAAATGGACAGTGTAGAAACAAGGAGGTGTTCTTAATAAAATGCTCAGTGAGTGTATTTTGTAATGCTACAAGCAGATAAAAATGTATAGCTAGCAATTACAACCTAATACAGCATCACACACAGTCGTACACAGACAAGAGGAGATTCAGAGACCACGGGTGTGAGGAATATTTTCACTGAATTTCACTGAAACGTCTGTAAAGAAATGACTGGAGTTTTTTTTAAAGAATACCGTTTCTCCATGCAGACTAGCAATATGTGAAAACGATAAGCTAACAAGTTGCTAGCTGCTGTGTCCACTTGGTCCTTTAGCCCACCACAAACACTGCACTATGGTCCTTCAAGACAAAAAGCTTGGGCAGCCCTTGAGCTAGAGTGTTAATTTCTGACTCTAATGACTTTAATAATCCTAAAATATTAGCAAAAACACTAGCAAGCAAGCTAATATTAGCTAAAAACTACACTGCATTAACTAGCTAGCTAGCAAATCTAGCTAGTTAAATCATTGGGATAACAGTAGCAAGACCAAGGCTCATCCTAGAGGTGAGTCAACAAATGTTTTAGCAAAAACCCAAATCTTTTTTATCATCTTGTTTTTTTAATCACTAATGAAGTAATTTACAGTTGCTTCTTACTCACTACAACCTGACAGTTTTGTTTAATGGCCGTTGGACCGAATCACGTTAAAAATGCATGTTGTTCAACACGTTAGCACATTTGTTCTCTCTGAAAACCATTTTCATATAAAAAGGATGGATGCACAGCCACATATGAGTGACACAGACATAGTGTCTGTTCCATAAATGTCAAAACTCAGTAAAAAATGAGAACAGTTCTACAGTGATGCTAATTTCTGTTAGCGTTTTTGTCAGATTTTAGTCAGTGCTAAGCTAAAATTCTTCTAGAACGAACATAGACTGGTAAAAGACGTTCCATGTTTTATTTAAAGCTTGTAACAGACGTGTTAATGTGTTGTCGCTGTCCAAAGAAAAGCGTCTCCAAAATAGTAACCTTACAGGAGGAGGCAAAAGCCTTCTGCATTAACTTTTAATGTAAGTTAATGTAAAGACGTTTATTACAAGTAATGTTGGAGTATTTCTATCAGTCTGTTCATGAGATGTTCACACAATGTTAAGGACAACTGCTGTGATCAAATAATGTAGAAAAATAAAGAATGAAAAAAGTGGAGATACATGTTCTTTTTTCTGGACAGTGAAGATGTTTTGACCTTCAGTGTTACAGTGACTCCTGTAGTGAAGAGTCCTGGACCAGAACTGCTGCCATTTTCCAGTTCCATTACTGATGTCTGACTGAACCTCACTGGTCAGGCTACCACATGAACTCTTGGTCAGCGATGTACCTAGAAAGAGGCCTGGAATGACCTTTCTCACAAAATTGCCTCAAACCACTGTGACAAAACGTAACAGGTTGATTCCTTTGGCAGTTCCGGATTATGTTAGTGGTTAATCTGATATATTAGGCCTTCAGTTCAGCTCCTGAAGTCCCGACCAATGGGAGAACTCACCTGGCTGGATCTACCTAGATACCACAGACAGTCCTGATTGGGTAATTTTCCATTGAGTTTTTAAGTAATTTGTTTCCAACCAAACTTAATAATGAAAGAGGAGTATAGCTACGATAATCACAGATTCAAAACAAGAATAATTATTATATTAAACAAAAAATAACTAAACATTACAGTACAGTAATGAGGGAGATACATGTACATGTTTAGTGTAAAGAATAGAAAAAACTAATTTCTACACAAATAAAATTGCTGTAAGTGAACTGACAGACAGACAGAGCTGTGATGTATTTATGTGGGAATGATTTGAACACATCTGAAGTAAATTCAACGCAGCACTTGTTTCACTGTATTCAGATTCAAACTGAAACATTTCAGGCATGAGAGAGAGAGAAAGAGAGAGAGAGAGAGAGAGAGAGAGAGAGAGAGAGAATGCGGGGGTCTGGTGAAGGAATCACGCGAGACTCAGGCTCCTCCTTGAAGGACCTTCAGAGTGGATTGCAGCACATCTGTGCGCCGTTAGAGGCAGAATGAATATTCGGAGCGCGCTGGTTTTGTGAGTCGGGCGGAAAATCACCCTCTCGTGCGGCGCAGCGCTGATTTATGAGTGTTACTAACAGCCACCTCCTTCACAACAACCCCCTCAGAGTGACAGAGAGGACAGCTAAACACCACGAGGAGCCACTCATAACACAGAGAGAGAGAGAGAGTGAGAGAGAGACTGAGAGAGAGCGAGTGAGAGAGAGAGAGAGTGAGAGAGAGTGAGATAGAGAGAGAGAGTGAGTGAGAGAGAGAGAGAGAGAGAGAGAGAGTGAGATAGAGAGAGACAGAGACAGAGATAGAGAGAAACTGAGACAAAGAGAGACAGAGAAACTGAGAAACACAAAACTCCAGAGCGAGACAGAGCTACAAAGACAGAGAGCGAGGGAGAGAGAGAAACATGAGAAACACAGAGAGACAGAACAAAAAGAGAAATGAGAAATGAACATGATAAATTAACACAGAGAGAGAGAGAGAGAGAGAGAGAGAGAGAGAGAGAGAGAGAGAATGAGAGAGAGACAGAGAAAGGGAGTAAGAGACTGAGAGAGAGACAGAAAGAGAAAGACTGAGAGTGACTGAGAAAGAGACAGACGATGAGACAGAAAGAGAGAGAGAAAGAGAGGAGACACAACACAAAGCTGCTAATCACAACAGAACTAATTTACATACAAGTCTTAAAGCTACAGTGACAGTAACAGCCTGTTTAATTCTAAGGGGTAAAGAAAGGCGGGAAAACAGTGACGTAAAAATGAAATATGTTTTTTTAGTACTTTAACCCACAAAAGCACATTTTTCCCCTGAAAGGAGAGAATACCGCGTAAATAAAGTGGAGTGCGTGTTTGTGTGTTTGAGCCCAGAGGACCACAGTCAGCGGGTGAGAGTTCCCCTCCGGGCCTGTAGGTGGTGCTGTGACCGCGGAGCGTCTCCGGATCAACCACACCGAGCAAGAAAACAGAAGTTTTGCAGGGAGACGGTCGCTGTGCAGCAGATTTGACTCTTTCAGTGAATCCTCTGAGGTTATAAGCGGGTTTGGTGGACTATGGACGTCGGCGAGCTGCTGAATTACCAGGTAACGACGGGCTGAACTCCATTTTGTGTTGCTAGGTGCTGAATATGCTGCCGTGTTAGCATCACACCGGCAGCCGCAGTGAGGACAGCGCGTTAGCCAACCGGCTAACCGGCTAACATAACTCCGGATTTCGGATTAAAAGCCGTTGAAGGGTTTCTGTTCGTGTTTACTTTAGCAGTGCTCCAGTACTGATACCGTATATGTTCAGGAATCTCCATACAGCCCTTCTACATGGAAGCTCAGCTACTTATGTGCACCCAGGCGCTCAATTAACTGTACAAACATAAAGGGGAAATCCACCAGTTTTTCTAAATTTCTGCATAATTCAAACGTTGAGGTGTAAACAGTCAGTCAGAGTGGTTTACAGTGAAATGGTTAATTGTAGAGAAATTTACTGTCTCTGATTTCTTCACAGTGGTGCTGATAGGAACCAGGGGTCACCATGACTACAACACAGTCATCTTCTTTAGCTTTTGTCCATAAAACCAGTGAACCTTCACCTGTCGTCTGAGGTTTTATATGTAATGTTGATGATGGGCATAAATCTGAAAATACATTTTGTGGGAGGACTGTTTTACCCTCCCTCCCTGTGAGGGAGCTTTTAGAGGCGTTCAACTCTTCAGACGTCTGGTTCCTGTCACCACCACTGTGAACAGTTCTGGCTCAGTGGAGTTCCCCTTTAACTCCATAGAGAAGCATTGCCTGTAGAATGGGACGCTCCTCGTGCCCAGTGGCAGGTGTTGGCTAGAGGGGTATAAAGTCCCCCAGCATTGGGCTGTGGAGCAGTAAGTCTGCATTCTCTGTAGTGATGGATCTCCATACAATACCTTTGGGATGAGTCGGAGAGTCCAGAACTGACCTCACTAATGCTTTCATGGCTGAATGCAATCAAATCCTTACAGCAATGTTCCAACATCTAGTGTAAAGCCTTCCCATAAGAGTAGAGGCTGTTACCGCATCAAAGACAGACTTCCTATTAATATCCTTCATTTCAGAAGAAACCTACTCGAGAACTCAGAGTCCACAACGGCAGAAGAGACACTTTCCTGAATTCAGGCTGAATTTGTGGCTTTGGTTACACCTTCAGAGATGATTAGTGGAATATAAGACCGTCCTCAAGTAAAAGTGTCAGTTTAATGATGCAAGTTGAAGTAAAAGTAGCTACACTCTTACAAAAGATGGTTTTTCAAGGGTTCTTTACTAAAGAAAATGGTTCTATAGGGAACCATGAACACTCAGAGAGCCCTTTGCATGCTTGAAAGGTTCTTTGCATCGTGAAAGCATTCTTCAGATTGATGGCGAATGTGCTGTACATGGTTCAGGCTTGTAAAAACTAGAAGAACCCTTTTAGGTGCTATATAGAACCCTTTTAAAACAAAACTTATAGAACTGCAGTGGAACTTCTTAGTCCCCAACCCCCCCCCACACACACTATCCCATTTTCTCTCTACTTTAGTCGTATCCAATTCCACCCAGTAGTTAGGACTTCCCCCAGTCACGATACCACCAGCGCTAGTAGGGTGAAGAAATGAACCGAATACTATTCGCCAAACGTGTAGTCTGATCTTCAAAGTCTGAACAAATCGGACTGAGTCATAAAACTGCCGCAATATCAAGTTTAGCTCAGTTTTGTACATTTTTGCCAGATCAATATTAATGTTGTTTTGTTCCAGCCAGTCTGTAAAGCATCTTACAGCCCATTTTGTTTGGCGAATGGTATTGGGTTCACTTCTGGCTGATTCCAGGTTGTTTAGCTGTTCTTCTGTCACAGCTGCCGACTGAAAAGCTGCTCAGTGGTGATGACAGTTTGGGAATTTAGTGTCGTCTCATCTTCAGAGTCTGACCAAATCGGCTGTCGGTCAAATGTGATCTTAAAAGTGTCCATTTTCTGTTTGTGGCACAGTAAGAAGTAAAAACGTTCAAATGGCTCGAGCGTCTCCTACAGCTGTCACAGTCATTGCTTAGCAACGGCGTCTCAGCAGAGTGATACAGTGTTTGTGAAAAACCTGTAATGTATGGTGAAATAACAGCACGGTTAGAACGCTTTTCAACCAATCAGCTTGCGTGGCCGGAACTAACTGTTGTATAAAGTAATACGATGAACAAATATGTCTTTGTCTTATGTCACTTCATCATCCTCCTGTGTTCGTCATTAACAGCCTGACCGAGGAGCGAAGCGGCCCAGGGAGGAAGATGGTGGTGAGGAGTCTCGGGTCAAACAGAAGACCTCCAGCAGGGAGCCTCTGCGGCTCGCAGCCATGGCTGAGGATGAAAATGAAGATCCTGAAACCAAGGAGAAGATCCTGGAGAAGCTCATGGACCAGGATGAGGTTGACCCAGAGGTACCGCTGTTCTGAGATCTGATATCTGAATGCTGTCACTCAGATGCAACATATTACAGATGCTTAAAGGGAGATTCCATCAATTTCTCCAAATTTCAGCACAATTAAGTAGTTAAGATGTAAACAAAGAGACACTTGAGAGAAATTTGCCATGTTAGAATTTTTCTCAGTGGTGGTGATGGAAACCAGACGTCTGAACAGTTCAATTCCTCTAAAATCTCCCTTATTAGGTGAAGTGGTAACGATAGTTTTGACGGAAGACTTTTGCCCGTTTTTTCCCAGATTTACCACTTTTTTCCATTATCAGCGTTACATTTCATATAATAGCTTTGTGTGGTTGCTTGTAGAGGTGTTAAACTCTTTAGACGTCTGGTTCCTATCACCACCACTGTGAACAGTTTTGACTTTGTTAGCTTTTCTAGAACAGGGCATTTTACACCAAACTACTCTGAATCACTTTGTTTTCATCATAATCATTTAGTTATGCAGAAAATGTGAATTTCCACTTAACTCTTAACACCTTGTGAGGACTTTGTGTTATCTTGTTTTTTTTTTTTGGCAGATTTCTTACTACTACTACTACTACTACTACTACTAATAATAATAATAATAATAACTAGTTTTTATCTATGGTGCACTTAAGGTTATTTTGCTAACGTCATGTTGTTGGTAATGACAGATAGTTGAATGCAGTGCTGTGGATCAATAAGCTTGCGTGAAAATGCCAGTTGCTGAAGGAAGGACGTCTGTGCTTCTTTAACAGGGAGAGCCGGTGGACGAGACCATGGTGAAAAAAATGATCCTGACCTTTGAGAAAAGGTCGTACAAAAACCAAGAACTCAGGATTAAATTCCCAGACAACCCTGAGAAGTGAGTTAAGAAGAAACACCCACACACTGCTCTTCTGTACAGCAGTTCACTTTTCTGCATCCTTCTGTATTTTTATAGCACACTTTTACTTTTCAGATGTAAAATGTAATAGAAAAAAAAAGACCACTGCGTTAATACTTCACAGTTAGGGGTGTGAAAATGCATTGATACATTGTGATGCGTAGATGTTAAGATGGCGATTTAACTGCGTCAGTTTTGAAAAGAGTTGTAACACAGTAATGTTCAATGAAAAAAAGAAATTCTTGGATAATTTTAAATGCAGAAATTCCATCTATTTTATTGTCTTTATTCCAGTGCTGTGTAAATATTTCCTCCTGGAACATTTGTGTATAAGGTGTATTTTGTAAAATAACACAAATATTCTAATGAAATTGTGGTGAAATATGGGATTTTATTGATGCGTTATGTTGTAGAGTCATAATCAAATTGTGGGGTCAGAGGTTTACATCCCTGTTCTGTGAAAAGAAAAAAAGGCCTAGAAAATGTTGCTGTCCTGACCGGTGCTGTCAAAGTTATCAAGTTAACATTATTAGTGTGCATATTTTTTTTTAAATGCTTTTAATACATTTTCCTAGTTTGACCCTTCAAGTCATCCATAGTTCCAGCCTGAAGCCCAGCTGCTCCGCTGATACGGCAATATCAGTAATTCATACTTTCAGGAGACAAATCAGTGAGCATCAAACTAACAAAAGCAACAACAAAGTAGGGCAACCAGGAATAATTTAAATATTAGAAAATGGAAAAGCATTTAGAATAACTGGGACCATTACTATTTTCATGAAAACATGCACTTCCGTTCATTTTTTGTTCCCGGTTCGACTGTTTTGTTCAGTGACAAACTGACTAAAAGCTGTTTTCAGCTTTTAAAAATGTGTGTTTCAAAAGACACTGTTGGCAGATTGGACAGGATCCCTTTGAATAGCAGTTTATGCTACTAGCTAATGACAGCAACTGTGTAACGTTGATGTTTTTCCATTACCTTGTGGTACCCCAAGTTTGTTAATAAGTAATGAAAATAATAATAATAATAATAATAACAATAATAATAGTTGTTAATAGTAATAATAATAATAACAGTAAATAACTTTTTTCTTTATTTATTCGTTCCAGGGAAACACACATCTTAACATTTCCTTGCTCTTACAGAATAATTGAATATTCAAGACAATATTTGAAATAATACTTAAAAATTAAAATATTGTGTAAATGAAGCTCCAGTCCTCCTCAAAATCCTCTCCTATAACGAGAATCTATGAACCAAATGAATGAGAACGAGAGGCTACTATATATATATATATATATATCATATATACTATATATATATATATATATATATATATATATATATATATATATGTGTGTGTATATATGTGTGTATATATATATATATATATATATATATATATATATATATATATATACTAAAGGTGGAACTTGCAGCCACTGTTACTCTCACTGGATGTTGAAGATGGAAATGGGGAAACTGTATTGATTCTGGAAATCACCATGTACAATAAAAATAATTCAATAACATTATCGGAAGATGTAAAGACATTTTGAAAAAGCTTGTTTCACCCAGTCATATAGCTATAATAAAATGCCTTGCTTTTAAATGGAAAAAAAAAGTTTCTGTAGGGTGAAATATAAGCACAAAAGTCTTACTTTTGAGCGATTACTGACAATTAATTACACAAAGTAAGTGATTAATCATGACTAATTATTTAAATCATTAGTCCTTACACTTAGCACTAGCATACGGCATATTGCCTCCATATACATTCAGCGTTCTATTCACAGTTTACTCTGATTGCATTAGAAACTATTTAAGACTTCCATGACTAAACGCTCAAATCTGTACAAAGTAATGCACCTCTGAGAAACTTGGTCTCATGTATTTGCTTGGTGTGTTTGTGGGCAGGTTTATGGAGGCGGAGCTGGACCTGAATGACATCATCCAGGAGATGCATGTGATCGCCACGGTTCCAGAACTGTATCACCTGCTGGTGGAGCTGAACGCCGTCCACTCTCTGCTGGGGCTGCTGAGCCACGACAACACTGATATCCTCTCACTCAAACACTTTAATAGAACAGCCAGATAGAGAGTTATGTAAAGAGCGCTGCACAGGTTCTTAAAGGTGATTGCTTGGTGTGGCGTAATGTGTAATTGTGTTCACAATCTGGCCGTTTTCCCCTTAACTAGCTTTTAATGGAATTAAATGCAACCTGGGTTTGAGGTTGTTTCTGAAAAGCTATTTTAGATATAAGTTACAAATAAATAAGAAGAAAGACTGTAGCACAGACGCCCTGTTAAATCTTTGTGGAACATTTGCAGCATAACTTTGGACATAAAAATCATGTTCTTTACAAATTTACTGTCAGACCAGATACTAAAACTGTATTGATATCAGAGCAGCTGAACATTCTCTTAGACCTGCAGTATTTGTCTTCTTCTGTCAAGGTCATGACTCTTTTTTTCCTTTGTTTTTAAGGTTTAGACTGTTTTTTTTCCTGTTTCTTCAGTCAGACCTTTTGCTGTGTTCATTTCATATATTTTCTTTCTGCTCTTTGCTTTTGTCTGTTCTAGAGACTGACCGATTTATATTGGTTGCCTTATAATAGCAATAATAATATAATACTATGTAATACAACCCACATTTTGCATCACTGATAATTACTGTCAGTTTGCAAGATCCATACTGTGATGATGGGGCAAAACCTTAGAGAGTTATACCACTGGGGAGTGGCTGAATGGCTGAGCCAGTCTATCTTCAGTAATCATTCATCTCCTGCTGTGTGGTCAGTTACAGTCTGAGTCAATGTTAGTGCAGGTTAATGTTGAGGGAGCGAATGTTAGAGAGACACGGCCGGTCTCTTGGGGTAACGATAGCCTTTAGCGTAGCAGCCCTTCATCTGGACTAGTGTTTTCTCTAACCCCGCCTGTGCCTTATCTACATATTGTTTAGTTCGGTTTTTGCTCTTTGGAACAATTAATTTTTTTTTAATTTACTTCAGTTGTTAAATATGAATATTATTGAATAGGAAAGGGCAATCCAGAATAATACGCCACTGTTCATTTTCAAGAATTGGTTCTCCAGGATGGGGATACGTATTGTTGTTTTTTTAGCACAAAGTCTCCTTTTTTGTCATTTTAATTTTTTTGTTGTAAACACCAGCTGTCCTTTCCATTTTACGTTTTTTTTCCCTCCTTTAACATGAACATCTGGAGACACAGTGTTTTATTCCGACAGAGACAAGATTTCAGTAGAGTTCTGTAAGGCTTCAGTAATGGAATCGGTACATTGTATCGGCAGATGCTGAAGGATCGGGTATCGGTGTCGAAAGTTGGAAAAAGTGGTGTTGGTGCGTCCCTATTTATATTATATGAGAGTTTCTGTTGAGTTCAAGAAGTGAGCCAATGAGATCCATATCAGTCAGTATATTGTCTGTTATAATTGGTTAGTAGAATTTTTAGCCTCTTACAATTACACAGTATCAGTGTCAGCCATAACATTTTCAAATCAGTCAGGCCCTCATCTGTTCTCCACCTTTCTGTGGCGTTTTCTCCATTTATAGCCCCTGAAAAAAAACAACACCATGCAACCTCTGCATTCAATTCGTCATTCATGTGCGAGTTCTGTTCCCTGTAGACCCAGCGTGTTCTCCTTAACCCCCAGCACATATCGCTATTGCAGTGGTGGATCTGCTGCAGGAGCTCACAGACATAGACACACTTCACGAAAGCGAAGAAGGAGCCGAAGTCCTCATCGATGCTCTGGTGAGAAAACCGTCATTCGCATGTTAAAGGGACAGTTCAGCGAAAAAAATACAGTCTTTGCTAGGGATGTAAAAATGGTTAACCAGTGGTTAACCTACAGATAAACAGTGCTATTTGTTAAAAAAAAAAGTTAATTTGATTTCCAATAAACAGCAGTTCCTATTAGAGTGGTCTGGTTTATGACTCAAGTTGAGAGATGTTTTCAAACTGTAGGCTTGAGGGTGCAGTAGGTAATTCTTTCTCACAGCTCACAGCTAAAATAGTGCTGTTTTGCAGTGGACAATAGCTCAACTACAGCAATGCATATGATATCAAAAGCAATCATTCACAGTACAGATGGCCGTTTCACCCATGTTCTCACACATGGGTGTGCAAATGTATAGAGAAGGATGCGATGGATGGCGACAGCCTTCGAGAGCTACTGAGCTACATTAAGTCAAAGCTCGCTGCTATTATGCCATTAATGTTTTTTTGTAACTTGCTTTAGTAATGAGCGGTAAATACAACTTCATTGGTAGAACTAAATTAAACCTTCAGATTATAGAACTTTCAGTAGCTTTTGGTCACGACATAATGAGCTATTTTAGTTGTCAGTTTTGACAAAGGGTTCTTATGAAGGACATTTTATAATTCAGTTTCAGGCCCTTTACTTCAATCGCATGCTGATGCCTGACCTCACTTGTCAGGACTGCATTTCACCGTCTGTATAAGGGGTATTTCACTGTGTTAACACTGAGTTCAGTTGACATCTGAGCTCATAAGTGTGTGTTTATGTGTGTCTGTATCAAGTATTTTACACCTGGCTTAGCCAGTCAGATTTCAGAGCTGGGACGATTCATTTCATAACTGGTATTTTGATTGGTTGCGTCTTTAATTTTAAGCTTAATGGTTAATTGTTGACTTTCAACAGTCGATATTCAGTCAAAATAATTTGTCAAAATTTTGCTTTCCTAGTCTTTTCAGTTCTGATCTAAATCAAGACATGTTTGGTGTGTGAATTGTGCTTTTTAGCTTTGCACTGAAATTATGGGGCTGAAAAGTAATGAAAATTTAAACTCCACTTATTGGTATCAGGCTAACTGCATGCCTATTACAAACACTTGGCTCACCATACTGAGTTAAGGAATCTCTATTAGACTTGCAGTGAGGTTTCACTGTATGACACTGTTATCTAAACATAGACAATACTTGGAGACGGCCATTACGGCTCTTTTTACATTTACTAATGTAGCTAATGTTACTGTTGGCTACATTAGCCTGGTAACTTCAGTGCAAAACTAAAGGACCATCAAGGAACCAAACATATCTTGGCTGAGTACTTTTGGGCTAAGAAGGTGATTATGTAAATCTAGTTTTTCACCAATATGTCGCTTTAACACAAACACAAAGTTACATTTCTCTCCAAATTATCCCTTTAAAGTCCTCATTCTACTACTGTAACAGAGTACATTCACTGCTGGGGTTCTGCATTGGCCATGCTGCTGTTTTAGTAGCTCTGTATTGGGCCTTTAATGTGTAGTTTTAGTGCTTTCAATCTTCCTTATCATGTGGTTTAAAGCCTTTAATGCTTCGATGGTGGGGTCAAGTTCTCATGCAGGGTTAATTACTGTGTTCAATGTGCACAATCTCAAGAACACTGACTTGCCAGAATCAAACAGTGACCATTTGTAGGCTGAAAAACTTGTGCCAAACATAAAAAAACATGCTAAATGTCATTCTGTAACAGATTTCCAACACAATTCAATTATAGTGCAATATAAGAATACTATTGACCATTAGGTATTGATCAGCAGTTTGGTTCTGCTCTGTGAGTTTCGTATTTTGTGTGTGTACTGACATTTAGAAAGGCGGGTTTACTGAGTCATTCCGTTGGGGGGTGGAGGGGTGGGGGGGTCCAAATATCAGAGGGTACCAGGCGGTATGAGGCGGCCTGTAGCCATGGCATTTATGCTGCCTATACAATCAAATCATTTTAGGCTCGCCAGTAAAGATAAAACACAGCAAGGAAATTATCACTGAAACAACCTTTGGGTTTAATTCTCAGCGATGGGTCAATATTGACATGTGGGCCGTGTTGGAAGAGGAGTAATCTCAGTGCTGTTTGCTTCTTTCTTACAAACCTGGGCTTTGTTTTCCCACAGATCACAGTTGTATGATGGAGAGATTTCTCCAAAGCTTTACTCAGAAACAGTATTACATGCAGGAAGCATGTCTGAAATGACTCTAGCCCTTGGCAGTTAGCCTTGTTTTATTAACCCTTGTTAAACCTTTCTTAGTACCCTTGTTAAAGAGCCCATATCCTACCATTTTTATGTACTTTGTTTTTATCCATATCAGCCACCAATTCATTTATCTGTGATTTTCTGTATTAAAAACAATTTTACAGGTTCATGTTCCTGCCTTTCATTATCCCTTTGAATTTAACAGGTTTTTGTTGCTGTGCCTTTAAGAGTGATGCATGTAAATGAGCTCTGCTCTGATTGGCTGCCCTGTATTTGCCTTATTACAAAAGCAGTCCAGCCTGAAACACTCTTTATAACTTCATTGTGAATGGAAGGGGCTGAAATGGTGTGTGAACAAGTATGTATATGCGAATGCTTTGGTTTCTGTGACATCACAAAAGCAGGGAATTTGAAACAGGATATTTTTGCAGCTTAGATTGCATATATGGAGTATATGGACTGAGGAATTAATGCTGTTTTGAAACTATAACTGTTTCCTCCCTTTTTTTTAAAGCAAGAACATTCATTTTTCTATGATATGGGCTCTTTAATGCCAACAATAACTCGGCTAAAGTCTAAAACTAAGGCTAGAGTTATTGTAGTCATTTGTTATACATTCTATTTTAATACATAATTGTACATTTAAATGTCATCACATATTTAATTACAATTAATCATTTTTGTCTGTTTATGTTTTTGTCTGTATTTTCCTTCCACAAAACAAGACTGTACACACCTCAGTTTCGAAAGTTTAAAATCTGGACTATAAACAGTCTCTCTTGTTTGGAAAAGTTCTGAGCGATAAATAACCAGCAGATGTAAGAATAACCTTTATACCGTATGTGAATCTAGAAGGGTTAAACGTGAAATGCAAAGAACATATGATTCATGAAGCGGTTACGTGATTACTTCGTAACTTCATGTGTCTGATTGGTGTTTGTTAGTGAGTGTTTACTCTGTTTGTGTGAGAGGTGATTAATGTGTAACTTGTCTATTAGCTGGAGGGCCAGGTGGTGGCTCTTCTGGTGCAGAACATGGAGAGGCTGGATGAGACGGTGAAAGAAGAAGCAGATGGAGTCCACAACACACTCGGTACGCCACACGCCGATAACAGAGTTCACCGACTGTGCTCTCTGAAATGTGTTAACAAACCCCAACATGCTGGATAAGAACAGAAACAGCAGGGCTGATTATTTAGTCCATCAGTGAGTCTTACTGCAGCTGTACACTCAGGCTGAGAGTCCGTCTTCTCATATTAAACAGGCTGTTTATTTGTTACTGTGCCTTTAAGACTGATATATGTAAATGACCCCTGTTCTGATTGGCTGTCCTGCATTGGGCCTCATTCAAAAAAAGCAGTCGGGGTTGAAACACTCTTTGTAACTTCAGTGATGGGCGGGGCTAAACTGCTGTAGGCTGAAGAGGAGGATACAGGTAAAAGTGATGGTTTTTATGACATCACAAAAACAGTACATTCTAAACAGGCTGTTTACGCAGCTTAGTTTGCATATATGGACTATATGGTAAGCGTTTGGTCAGTGCACTTGATTTGTGGAGGTTGCATTGAATGACCTGATGCTAACACTAGAACAGGTTTGGCAACCAAAAGGTTAAGAAGAGCCATTTTGTCCTTTCAATAAAAATCAACTGACCTTGGGAGTCACAACATTTTATATCCATTTTATTGAAGTAACGTTTTACCATCTTGGCTGAAAATACTGTATGTCTTAATATGTGCTAGCTGATGTCCTAGTGTAGACTTAAAAATGTAAACGAAAACTCAGACTTTGCTCTGCTTTAAGCTTTAGCTCAGCTGTAGCCACTTTTCTCACATCTCTGGCAGGAAACCTTTTCCGTAAAAGTGGACTAGTTTCTAGTAAAATGTCCCTCAATGTTCGACTTTTTATGAGGTTGAAGTCAGTTACTCATTCGCCAGCTTCTTGTTCAGATTTTCCAGTTCCACCTTAAAAGGCGCCTGAGCTAGAATGCAACTGCTGCACCATTTAAGGTGGAACGTGAAAATTCGAACAAGGAGCTGACGATTGAGAAGCTGACTTCAACTTTGCGACTTTTTAGTGTTTGACAGTTTCTCGTTACAGATTAAACATATCAGGAAACCAGCTGGAGTGATTATAAATGCAAATAATTCTGTTTGTCTCCAAATAATCGACGTTTGTCTTAAATCTCTCTCTTTGCCTTTTCGTTAGCTACTAGCTGGGTAAGATTGTTATCTGCGTTGCTATGGTGACCCAGCAGTCTGCGCACCAGTCCTCAGGGTTAAAGGCTGAATTAGCAGATATACATTAACTCCAGTGTTTAAGACCATTTATTCTTTAAACAGTGTTGAATGATCAGCAGAGCTTTTTACTGAAAAGGAGGATTATTTTATTTTTACCTACAAAATCTGATTCTGCTGTGGAGCCACAACAGGGCAGTGAAGGAGCTGCGTGTGGGTCCGGAGCCACATGTTGCCGACCCCTGAACTAGAGCTAGCCGACGCAGCAGTAGAGGGTGATGATGCTAAGGCTAGGACCAGGACTCCATGATTAATCAGGTTTTTACTTTGAAAGTAAGCCGTCATTGGTGTGACACACGTGAGACTGCATGTGCGCCGCAGTGCTTCTGGTGTGAAATGGGCTTTAAACCGATAGAGCAGCGTTTGTTTTATTAGGACTGTTAGAGCTGAAGAGACGCAGCCGTGTCCCTGCAGGACTGGATATGAGGGACATCCTGCATCAGGCAGAGATATATACTCTCACTCTCTCTCTCTCTCTCTCTCTCTCTCTCTCTCTCTCTCTCTCTCTCTCTCTCTCTCTCTCTCCCTCCCTCCCCCACTCGCTCTCTCTCCCCCACTCGCTCTCTGCATGTTCCTCTATCATTTCTTCCTTCGTTCTCATCCACTCTTCTTTAATCTCTCTCTCAGGGGGATTATTATGGTACCTGGCTGTCTCTTCACACCCTGCTGTTCACCTCCTACTGTTCACTCCCAGCTTTCATCTGTAATGCTTCTCTCTATGTTTCTCTGGTCCCCTGTTCCTCTCTTTCTCTTCTCTCTCCTTCCTCTTCCCCATGTCTCTCTCCGTTCTTCTCTTCTCTTCTCTTCTCTTCTCTTCTCTTCTCTTCTCAGCGTTTCTCTGGTCCCCTGTTCCTCTCTTTCTCTTCTCTCTCATTCCTCTTCCCTGTGTCTCTTCTCTTCTCTTCTCTTCTCTTCTCAGCGTTTCTCTGGTCCCCTGTTCCTCTCTTGTCTTCTCTCTCCTTCCTCTTCCTCATGTCTCTCTCCTTTCTTCTCTCTCTTCTTTCTCTGCATTTCTCTGGTCCTCTGTTCCTCTCTTTCTCTTCTCTCTCCTTTCTCTTCCCCATGTCTCTCTCCTTTCTTCTCTTCTCTCTCTTCTTTCTCTACATTTCTCTGGTCCTCTGATTTCTCTTCTTCCCTCTCTTTTCTCTTCTCTCTCCTTCCTCTTCCCTCGTCTCTCTCTTCTCTTCTCTTCTCTTCTCTTCTCTTCTCTCTGTCTCTCTCCTTTCTTCTCTTCTCTTCTTTTCTCTCTCTCTCCTTTCTTCTGTTTTCTCTTCTCTTTTTTCTGTTCTCTTCTCTCTGTCTCTCTCCTTTCTTCTCTTCTCTTTTTTTCTATTCTCTTCTCTCTGTCTCTCTCCTTTCTTCTCTTTTTTTCTGTTCTCATCTCTCTGTCTCTCTCCTTTCTTCTCTTACACTTTTCTCTCTCTTTTCTCCTTTCTCTTTCTCTCTCTCTCTGCTAATCAGTTTATCATTTGCCTCTTTCTGTATGTATATAGTGTAAATGATGAGGACGGCTGAGCTGAGTTAAAGTTGTCTGGTGTCGGGTCATAAATATACAGCTGTATTCTCTCCATCTTTTCTCCATCCTCTTCCTCTCTTTCTTTAATTGTCTCTTGCAGGAGGAGGTATTTGGTGCATAGACAGCAGTAGCATGCATAGCAAAAATAGTGTTTGTTTCTGATATTTTGTGATGGTTCCTATCACTGAAACAGACGTGGGGTTGAGCACAGTGAACATAACATAATAAAGCACAACTCAGTAAAAGCTGTGGTTGTTCTATATTGTCATGTTTAATTTGCCTGCGAAACTGTAATTCACCCAGTAAGTAACAACAGAATTGCAAATGTCACATTAGCTTCGCCGTCCAGTGCCTTTCTGTCAGTGCTATGGTGCGGTGTGTGTGTCCACTTAGCCTGGTGTCTTTTGTCTGAGGCTGTTTAGCTTGATGTCCAGTCGTACGAGAGCCATGATGGAATTTTCCCAAGAACCGAAGACACAGTAGTAATAACTCAGCAGGAAATTTCAGCTTTCATTTATCATCACTACAGCAACAAAAGAAGTAAAATCTATCACTTACTTATAAAACACTAAAGTGTATTGTAAATCGCTTCATTTGAAAATACCTGTTACTCTTTACGTTGGGTGTAAATGTCACGATGAATGGACTAAAAGAAATGACCCAAAATGCCTTGGAAAAAAAGTCTGGTTCCATTGACTTACATTAAAAATGAAGTAGGTTTTTTTTCTTCTGCTGTAAAGTTCTCATTTTGGAGATACGAGGTTTTCTTCGTACAACAGCGATATGTGTTTTAAAATTAGTTTTAAACAGTGTTCCTAAAAAATGTTTTACTGCCTTTGTTGGATCAGTTATGGCTTTGTTATCTCATAACAAACTGCCAATGTGCCCCAAGTGACCTTAAAATGGTGGCCATGCAACAGAATACTATGAATAGGCTTCTTACTGTACAGATATCATCTGCTTGCGGCAACAGCACACGGTGCCCCGCCCCCCCAAGCACATTCAACCAGCGTGGCTCAACAGCCAGGTTGTTTAATTCGTGTGAAGTTACCGTTTTGCTGTCAAAGTTAGTATAGAAATGCCTGATCGCAGTTATTTCAGTTGACCACAATTTTTTTTCCACAGTTGTTCATTTTACCAGTCGTATGTTACATCTCAACGAAAATGTGAAATGAGTGTGTTTTTATCACCATGCAGGTAAACGAGAAAGTAGAAAATGCTTTTTTGACAAAATAACAAAAGCTCTAACTGCTAAATCTCATGTTATGAAAATATACAAATAGATATACTTTATTTTTAGTCTCATACTTAACGTGTGGCTATTTTTATTTCTGTTTTTTCATTTTTTCTGCATAGTATATGTCAGTATGTGAAATTGTCTTGAACTTATCTATCGTTCTATCTATCTATTTTTCTGTCGTTCTATCTATCGTTCTATCTGTTGTTCTATGTATCGTTGTATCTGTTGTTCTGTCTTTCTATCTTTCTGTCGTTCTATCTGCTATTCTGTCGCTCTATCTATCGTCTATCTATCTATCTGTCTATCATTCTGTCGTTCCATCTATCATTCCATCCATGGTTCGTTCTATCGTTCTGTCTATCGTTCTATCATTCTATCGTTCTGTCTATCTATCTTTCTGTTGTTCTATCTATCGTTCTATCTATCGTTCTATCTATTGTTCTATGTATCGTATCTGTTGTTCTGTCTATCTATCTTTCTGTCATTCTATCTGCTATTCTGTCACTCCAAATATCGTTCCATCTATCGATCTGTCTGTCTATCTATCTATCTATTTCTATCTGTCTGTCTATCTATCTATCTATTTATTGTTCTATCTATCTATCTATTTATCTATCATTCTGTCGTTCCATCTATCATTCCATCCATGGTTCGTTCTATCGTTCTGTCTATCGTTCTATCTTTCTGTTGTTCTATCTATCGTTCTATCTATCGTTCTATCTATCGTTCTATCTATCGTGGTGCTAAAACACTTGTATAGGGCAGCACTGAATAATGTTTGTTATGCCCTTGTTTGGGAACTACTAAGCATGGACAGCTGGGAACCAAGACAGCTAGTCAGTTTGGCCGCTTTAGGCTTGCATATAAATAGCAGTGAACTAAAGACAGTATTAATAGTGATTATTAATGTGAAAATTAATCAGCGGTTAATATTTCATGATCGTGACAGGCCTTTACAACAGTGACGATATACATGGTGAAACGCTGAATAGAGAGCATCATTTTTTTTTGTGGTCGTTGTTGTTGGTTACTGTGATGTGGTGCTTTTTGCCTTCTGAATAAAATGACTATGGAAAGCTAATCTCTGGGCCTCTGGCTATAGAAAGGGAAATTGTTATTTTTCTGCAGAGATATTCAACCAGTCATGCATTTGCTTTTAGAAGTGTTTGTTACTCTGGCACCAAGTTGAATTTGTCCAAACTGGGTCAGAGCTGCTGGACCGGAGCAGTGGAAATGTGTATGTATGTGTGGGTAGTGCTGATTTAGCTAAAGCTGTTTACATCCACACCAGCCTTTAATGTTCAGCTGGAAAAAAAGGAAAACACTCAGAATGTGTTGCGCACACTCTTCGCTCTGACTTTATCTTGTCACGCAGCACCCTGGATGTAATCCCTCATCATGCAGCATTCACACACTGTTGCCTGAAGAGCTGCTTGTTTTTGTGACTGTTTTAAAAGAGCCTGGTTCTTAGAAATGTTCCTCTTGGCTTGTGGCTTTTATCGTGCGTAGTGGAACAAATTGGTCAGGCAGGACTTCTCAGTTAACCACATAACTTATTTCAAGCCTGTCTAATAGGTGAAAGACTTAGAGACATTCCTACTGGTCATTTACTGTTGGTTTGAGTTGTTCAGTCTTAGAGAAGACATACAGGCTGGTTTGTGGTGAAATTTAGTCGTGAAATTTAGTCGTGAAACTCACAAACTAACATTTCTTTACACAGGTGGTGATGAAGAACCAGGGGTTGTGATATTGCCATTTTATTTACTGTCCAAAATTATGAGTGTATCTACACGTGTATTAAGGTACACTATATGGACAAAAGTATTGGGACACCTACACATTATACCTACCAGAGCTTTTATGATGCTCCATTCTAAATCCATAGGCTGTAATATGGAGTTGCCCCCCCTTTGCAGCTCTAACACGTTCCACTCTTCTAGGAAGCTTTCTGTAAGATTTTGGAGTGTGTCTAAGAGAATTTTTGCCCATTCATACAGAAGAGCATTTGTGAGGCCTTTATAGACCTTGCTTTGTGCACTGGGGCTCAGTCATGCTGGAACAGAAAAGTGTCTTCCCCAAACTGGTCCAACATAGTTGGAAGCCTACAGTTGTCCAAAATGTCTTGGTCTGCTGAAGCATTAAGATTTCCCTTCACTGGAACTAAGGGGTCTAGGCCAACACCTGTAAAACAACCCCATATCATTATCCCTCCTCCACCAAACTTTACAGTTGGCACAATGCAGTCAGGCAGGTAATGTTCTCTGGCATTCGCCAAACCCAGACTCATCCATCAGACTGCCAGATAGAGAAGCGTGGTTCATCACTCAACAGAATATGTTTTCACTGCTCCAGAGTCCAGGGGCAGTGTGCTTTACACCCCCCACCCCCCTTCAGCTTTTTGCATTTTGATCTTAGATTTGTGTGTAGCTCCTCAGCCATAGAAACCCATTTTGTGAAGCTCCTAACGTGCAGTATGTTTGCTGATGTTGCTTTCAGTAGCAATTTGGAACTCTTTAGAGAGTGATTCAGCACTTCAGCACTTGGTGGCCCAACTCTGTGAGTTTGCGTGGTCTACTGCTTTATGGCTAAACTGTTGTTGCTTCTAGATGCTTCCTTTTCACAATAATAGCACTTACAGTTGACCAGGGCAGATCTAGCAGGACAGAAGTTTCACAAACTGACTTGTTACAGAGGTGGCATGACATGATAAAATCACTGAGCCCTTCAGTTTGACCCATTCTGCTGTATATTGAGACTGCAAGACTATGTGCTTAATTTTATGGCGAAACACTTGAATTCAGGAGGAGGAGTGTCCCAATACTTTTGTCCAAATAGTGTATGTAGTATTGATGATAGTAAAGTAGTGGTAAATCTGAGAAAATAAGTTTGTCCTTTATTGCCCTAGAACACCCTACATGAAAACTCTCCCCCATAAATAGATAAAAAAAAAACCAATTCAGGCCAAAATTTCATCTCAAAACTTGTAAAACAGCGAGTGTGTTTACATGCACACCAATAATACTGTTGTTCTCAGATAATAAGATTTAGAACAAATATGATTGTTAACAACATATTCATATCTTTATAGGGGATTAAGGCTGTTAGTGTTCTTGAAATCCAATAACAGAGCTGCATTTTAGTTCATCAATCTGATTTCTCAGTGTATGTATTGCTTCACTCTGATTCCTTTAGTTTTTGTCTAGTTAAACTCTGTCTGTGCTGCTAAAGGCTTTCATCAGCTAGATGATGTGTAGTATTTGTGCTAGAACTCACCTACAGGAGCAGGATACAGCAGCCCTTTTTGGAGGCTGTTCTCAGCTGGCCGCTGTTGTTGACCTGACTGACCTGTTGCTGTACTGTTGTTCCAGCCATCGTGGAGAACATGGCCGAGTTCAGGCCTGGTCTGTGCACGGAGGCCGCCCAGCAGGGACTCATGCAGTGGCTCCTCAAGAGGATTAAGGTAAGACAGCAGCATGAATTTAAGAAGGAATTTACCTGTCCCTGCTCCGCCTACAAATGCGTTGTTTTGTCATTACTGTTGTAGGTTGGACGTGCTTTACAGAACACTGGCAAAAATCCCATTCGGCCTAAATTCTGTTTCAGTTTTTCTTAAAGTACAACTAGAAGCCTAGGTTTTAATGAAAAAGAAGTCATGTTTATAATTGAATTGAATTTGGAGTTCTGTATACTTGAAATGAAAACAGCTAGGGAGCAGTGCAAGTTAATGGTGGGATGCCAGCGTTTACCAAAAATATCAACCCTTGAGAGCGTTTTCAGTGGACGGGAGGCCAAAAGAGGGCCCGAGAGTTAGATTTTCTGGTTTAAAGACTAGAAAAACCCTCCTCTGATGAGGGTGGGAGGATCTACAGATACATATGGGAAGTTGCATGAGGGCAGTCTGCTTGAACGATCAGGCTGAATTATGTTTTCCAACCTAGCAACAGTAGAACATGCTTGTAAGCATAACATAGATTGATAAATTCTTTCGTTTTTCAGAACATCGGCATATTTTGAGACGAAAAATATTAGTCTAGAGAGGCTGACCGACTCTTTGGAGTTGGTGGTCAAACATCTAAACAACTAGTTGAGCGACAGGTGCCTTCTGCATTTTTATATGTAATGTTTTTTTTTATGCAAAAATGAAAATAAATCCATTCAAATGTGTTTCTTCTGGTTCTCGGTGAACAAAATAAGCTGATATTTTGAAAGATATGTGAAACATCCTGTTAACATAACAAACTCCTGTACTGCATCTTAGATTTTAGAGAATTATTCTGGATCAGCACTACAGCCGGCTGCATGTCAGTGTAGTTTCTCAGGGGTTTTAATATGTAAAGTTGTATTTTAATGTTGTGAGCAGCCCTCATTAAGGTTCTACAGCAGTAAAAGCTCACGTCCTGCAGAGTCCTGCTCCAGCACACGCGTGCTTCAGCTCATTAAAGTTTCAATAATTAGCTGTTCAGTTGAATCAGGTGAGTGGGGAACAAGAAGGGAACTGTAACCATGTAGGGCTCTGGTCCCTCTGGATCTGGGAAACCTCAGGAGTATTTCAGCTCGAAATTGCTGAGCTTCAGTGGACAACTCTCTTATAATTTGCGTGAGCTGTTTTTTAGTTGCTGCTTGGAAGTGTATTAAAATTAGATGAAAAATGCTGCAGTGGTGCTAGTTTTCTACAGAGCTGTGTGGTTGCTTTCTTATTAAGATAAATGTTGCTGTATGTTGTTTATTTAATCTGCGTCTCTGCTTTTGATGGGATTTCTTGAGCAATGGGGAAAAAATAAGCAATTTGCATGCGCCAGATGTTATATGGATGAAAATGTAAACTCTTGTCCTGGTGATGGCTTTAATTCCTTGTAGGAAATCTCTGCTGCAGTTGTTGATAAAAAGCTGGCAGCTGCATGAAGATGGCCTGCATAATGCAGGATTTCCATCACAAAGTGCATAACCAGCTAAAACATTACTGCATAATTGATCAGCTGCCTGTGAGGTTTATCAGCGTGGTGGTGGCACCGCCTCATGACATACCAGGATTCTAGACTTTGGAAAGACTAATCATATTTTCTTCAGCTCGACAGAGGATGAGCTCGTTTTAAAGGCGACTGAATTTCACGGATATAAACACCACAGTGGGATTTTTTTTGCAGAAAGAGAAACGTGCTTCAAATGCAAAGTAGTCACGTTGTTCTGACTAATCAAGTGATTGTGGAGATGTGACATGCAGAGATTTGCATACTTTCTTCACATGTGGTGCGTGACCAGGCTCGCTGTCCTTGTAGAGACATTTGTAGAGTTATTTGGAAAATTTTAACTAAATGTTGAAAATGAAGCCTGACAACATTCTAACTGAATCTGACTGTAGCCCGACCAAATTCTGTCTGAATCCGACTGTAGCCCGACCAAATTCTGTCTGAATCCGACTCTAGCCCGACCAAATTCTGTCTGAATCCGACTGTAGCCCGACTAAATCCTGTCTGAATCCGACTGAAGCCCAACCAAATTCTGTCTAAACCTTATTGTAGCCCAACTAAATTCTGTCTAAATCCGACTGTAGCCCGACTCAGTTCTGTCTAAACCTGACTGTAGTCTGACTAAATTCTGTCTAAATCCGACTGTAGCCTGACTCCGTTCTGTCTGAATCCGACTGTAGCCCGACTCCGTTCTGTCTAAATCCGACTGTAGCCTGACTCCGTTCTGTCTAAATCCGACTGTAGCCTGACTCAGTTCTGTCTAAATCCGACTGTAGTCTAATTTCTGTCTAAATCCGACTGTAGCCCGACTCCATTCTGTCTAAATCCGACTGTAGCCCGACTCAAGTCTGTCTGAATCCGACTCTAGCCTGACTCAATTCTGCCTGAATCCGACTGTAGCCCGACTCAATTCTGTCTGAATCCGACTGTAGCCCGACTCAGTTCTGTCTGAATCCGACTGTAGCCCGACTCAGTTCTGTCTGAATCCGACTGTAACCCGACCAAATTCTGTCTAGACACGACTGTAGCCCCACTCCATTCTGTCTGAATATGACTCTAGCATGACTAAATTCTGGAGAATGTATTAATCCCTGCTCTTATTGATTTGGTCCCACCTTGAGACCCTTCTGAACACCAACAATCAGTAGGTTTGAAATCTGTGCTGACTCTGAAAGGCTCAGTGTTGGTTTTTAAAGGTATTCAATGGACCCCTGCTAAAATGAGATTGGCTGATGGAGAGCTGATGAAGGCTGCTTGGCCTGGGCTGGCAGCACTGTGCTGTGAGCAGTCGTGAAGGATTGTGACCCGAAAAATCGCTCGCAAATAAAGTAATTAAAGGTCAAATGGGAGCGTCACGCTGGTTTCAGTTTGATTGAATTAGAGGTGCTGACTGAACAGGCACAGAATTAGCTCATGGACGGTAATAGTTACTGACACAGGAGAAGTGGCAGGAAAAATGCTGATAGAACGAAATGATGAAAATGCAGCTCAAAGTTTTCTCTGTGTGTGTGTGTGTGTGTGCGCGCATGCCTGTGTGCTGTATTGTATCAAACAGGCAAAGATGCCATTCGACGCTAACAAACTGTACTGCAGTGAGATCTTGGCCATCCTTCTTCAGAACAACGACGGTAAGTTTGAACCACAGGTCTGAAACATCAACTCATTGTTTTTTAAACCGGGGATGGGCATCTCAATCATTTTTCTTGCTAAATTTTCACATTTAAATTTTATTTTTTATCTAAAAGGATTTGAATATCCCAACAGGAATTTGTTTTTTGTTATACTGTCCCTTTTTTAATGTTATTTTTTTTATGCATTTGTTGTTAAAAACACTCAGCAATTCAGTTGATTTGGTGATTTTGGTGGCATATGTGATGCACCACGGCCCATTTTCCTGCAGAACAATCTTTGTTAGATTTTTCGGTAACACTTTCTATGAATGTCACCTTTGTAAGCATCTATAAACACATTTATAACATGTTATAATGTATTCATAAGGCATTATAAACGTGGTTATAAATATTTATAAAAAAAGAATTACACTGAATTACACTTTATAGCCATGTTTATTATACATTATGAAATGTTATATAATGCATTAGAAATAGTGTTAATAACATGTTATAATGTCAGTGCCAAAGAAGTCAGTCCCAGCTTGGAGAGCGTAAAGTAAAGACCAAGCTAACGGTGGTGAACATTGACTTTCCCACATTGGGTAAAACACTGGTGGCAGCTCTAGTTTAAACTCTGACATTTGAAGCCTGAAATGTGCTTTATTGTGTATGTTTTAGTGTTTCAGTAAATCCTCCAGTAAATACTTGAAGCCTCACTCTTAACACTGGAGGAGGCTATAGTACAGTATGCCTCACTTTACTTAGAGCGGACAAATACAATCATTATGAGCTCTTATAATTTGTTATGATCAGTACTTATAATGTATTATGTTAACAACTCATTATGCATAATAAACATGGCTATAACGTATAATGCATTTTTGTAAATATTTATAGCTTACTCACTGTCTCATGCATCCATTATAACATGTTATGAATGTGTTTATAGATGCTTACAAAGGTGACATTCATAGAAAGTGTTACCGAAAAATCTAACAAAGATATTGTTCTGCAGGAAAATGGGCCGTGGTGCATCACATATGCCACCAAAATCACCAAATCAACTGAATTGCTGTAAAAAATGGAACATTCTTTGAGTGTTTTTAACAACAAATGCATCAAAAAAATAACATTAAAAAAGGGACAGTATAACAATCCAACATAGTAACTTTACAAAGGAGGGCAAAAATGTTCTTAAATTTTAGAGCAAGTTAATATAAAAATATAAAATTTCAAGCCATTTCAGAGCTTTTCTGTTAGTCCAGTCATCATGAAACTTTTACACAAGGCGAAGGACATCTGTTGTGTCCAAATGATATAGGAAAAAAAATAAAAATAAAAACAGGAAAAAAAAATTTTACAACAGTGTTATGCATTATAACCATGTACTCCCCTATTAACATTGATCATGTGATTGTGGAGATGGTTCTGTAGGTTTTCCCCCCATTTGTCTGGTACATTTAAAGCTGGGTGGCAGATTTAGTTGCTACGTTAGGAAAACAGAAGCCCGTTATCAGGCATTTCACTATTAAAATGCATGCAGAGTTTTGCAGCTGAATTTCATCATAAATCATTTGTGCATTTCATTGGGCTGTGAGGCAAAATGAAGCCAGACACTGCTGGAATAATGGACAGCTCTGTCCGGGTCAGCTGATCTCAAGACAAGCCTTCGCTGGAGGACATCAGCTCTGTCAACACAAAAATGAGTGTGTGTGTGTGTGTGTGTGTGTGTGTGTGCGCATGCATATGTTGGATGATTGTGTGTATCTGTCACTGTGTTTGGAACGGTTCCTAATCACTGTTCCCTACATTAGAGCGCTATATAGAACACTATTATAGAGAACAGAAACGGTCTCTAATCACCGTTCCCTACATCAGAGCGCTATATAGAACACTAGCACGTTCCCTACATCAGAGCGCTATATAGAACACTATTATAGAGAACAGAAACGGTCTCTAATCACTGTTCCCTACATCAGAGCGCTATATAGAACACTATTATAGAGAAACAGAAACGGTCTCTAATCACTGTTCCCTACATCAGAGCGCTATATAGAACACTATTATAGAGAACAGAAACGGTCTCTAATCACTGTTCCCTACATCAGAGCGCTATATAGAACACTGTTATAGAGAACTGACTTTAGGAAACGTGATGGTAAGTTCCAAGTTAGTTCAAATAAGTGAAGAGTTTAACAGGTTCTAGATATCGACTGAGTAAATGTGAGGTACTGAGTGAAATGATAGTAAGTAGCCATTTTAACTAAATTACACTGAAGGGTCACATGTTTAATCAAGAAGAGGAAATCAGAAAAATCTACCGGGCAGTTCTGTGGGGTAGGTGTGCTGTATACTTACCTGGTCAATACCTGGAACTTTAGGGACCGTGAAAGAAAGCGTTACCCTGTTCAGTGAACAGGTCATTCTTTCAGACATGGCTGCTGGTGTTGTGCTGCATTCAGACTGTGCTGCAGAAGTGTGTTGTTTTCCCCCCAGCCTCCCTCTCTGAGGCATTCCAGCTGTGCTGCTTTTCTCTCTCTCGCTCTCTCCTTCTTTTTCTTTGTTTCACACACAAATCCACACCTCTACCATGTTCTACTTCCTCCATGTTATTCTCTCCATCTCCTTCACTCTCTGTGCTGTTGTTTTTCTCTCTCTGTCAGGCACCAGAGAGCTCTTGGGGGAGTTGGATGGCATCGATGTTCTTCTGCAGCAGCTTTCAGTAAGCCACCCCACCAATATCCCTACTGTGCATTAGTGTCTGTCTCTCTCTCTCTCTCTCTCTCTCACACCAGCAGGTTCAGTGCTGTCTCTTTTCATGCGTCTCCTCCATTTACCCACAGAAAGGCAGTGCGTGTGTGTCAGGCCTGTTAAACTGTGCTTTTAGAGCCGAACCCACAGGTGGGACTGGTTCGTGTTGAATAAGAGGAAAAGACTTTAGCCCGGGTCGGAGAGCTGGAGGTTAACACAAAGGAAATGGTGATTGCAGTGAAGTGGTTTGGTTTCAGTGGGTTTTAGTACAGATCATGTTGCACGGTTTGGAATATAGGAATTCTGAACCAATGCAGAGATCTGATATCTGTCATGTACATATCTGCTGATGCTGATATTTAAACAGTTATAAAATTTAGAAATCGGGGCTAAATTTGCATTAGCATTGCAGAGAAATGTAGCATTTGTTTATGTAGGGTTTCAAATGCAGTAAAAGAAGTAAAATGCAGACTGGAGGACAAAACAACCAGTAGTGCCACATTTAAAAAACGATCAAAAAGAGGACTAATTATGTCAACATCTGGGTAATAAAACATTGTTATTCAGTGTTCATTAAGTACTGATAATGTCTGCGATATTTTTCGTGATGGCAATAAATATTGTCATATTGCCCACCCCAATGCAGACATTTTAGCACAGTAACCCAGTGTTTAATCAAATATCAGATTGAATATCAGTCAAATCTGTCGGTCAAATCTGCTCATACTGATCAAGTTCAAGGGTTTGAATTCAGATCAGGTAAAAGCACATATATACATTGACACACTGTTTATTTGTTTGCTGTTGTGAATTACAGTTGATCACAACGGCTGTTTGATATTGCGTTATCTATCCAGGCTCCGCCTACAAAGATTTTCTTTCATTAACACTGTTGCTGACTTCCTGGCGTGTGTGGACGACCGATATGTTCTGAAAATTATAAAAGCCTAAAAAACATACACTATATGGACAAAAGTATTGGGACACCTAAACATTACACCTACAAGAGGTTTTATGGCATCCCATTCTAAATCCATAGGCATTCATATGGAGTTGGTCCCCCTTTAGTAGCTTCCACTCTTCTGGGAAGCTTTCTACAAGATTGTGGAGAGAGTCTGTGGGTATTTTTGCTCATTCATCCAGAAGAGCATTAGTGAGGTCAGAGACTGATGTTGGATGAGAGGGCCTGGCTCTCGATCTCCATTCTAGTTCATACCAAAGGTTTCTTTTTATGGGGTTGAGGTCAAGGCTCTGTGCAGGCCAGTCGAGTTCTTCCACACCAAACTCACCCAGTTATGCCTTTATGGACCTTGCTTTGTGCACTGGCTTGGTTTGCTGAAGCATCAGAATTTACCTTCACTGAACTTGAACCTAAACTCCATAATTAGGAAGTGAGTCCCAATACTTTTGTCTATATAGTGTACATCTATGTTTTAGTCTCATTGTAAGCTTGTGTGCAACAGCAAATAGCGTATCAGATTATTTCGTGCTCCAGATATGTTCAGTACAGTTCTGTATTTCTGTATATCTGTATGGATCAGTTCTGTATAGTAGCACACAAATTCCATCAGTAGCTCACCTGATTTACTTTATTGAGGGATATATTAGATAAACTAGGTTTTGGATGGTAACTGTGAATACTGGACTTCTTCAAACCACAGTACCTATGAAAATGCACATTTGTGGGCGGAGCATGGGAGGGTCATCTAGAAATTGACTGTATAAACTGTTATTGAGGTGTTTGGGTGATGTGATAACGTTGTAATGAAGTGTCTCTGCGTGGCAGGTGTTTAAGAGGCACAACCCGTCCACAGCGGAGGAGCAGGAGATGATGGAGAACCTGTTCGATGCGCTCTGCTCCTGCCTCATGCTGCCAGCCAATCGTGACCGCTTCCTCAGAGGGGAGGGGCTTCAGCTGATGAACCTCATGCTCAGGTCTGTGACTGGCTGGTGGAAGTGTTGAATCATTAAAGGGCCAATATCTTACATTTTTCTTGCATTTTATTTTTTCCACTTATAAACATTTGTGTGATTTAATGTACCCAAAATGGTCATAGTTCATTTTTGCTTGACCACTTTCACGGCTTCGCTTTATCCCTTAGAATTAAACAGTTTTTGTTTGTTACTGCTCCTTTAAGACTGATATGATAAATGAGCTCTCTTCTGATTGGCTGTCCTCATCCTGAAACCACTCAGGGATGATAAGCCTGTTTGAATAGGTGAATGTATTTAAATGAATTGGTGACACTTTTGTTTTTTAAAAAAAACATGGCGATATGTTTCACGTGTTTTGGCACATCTCTGACAGTAAGCGGCAGGGAAAAAAAGCATAAAGCATAATGATGTGCGTTCACAATTTGTGTGCCCATATTTTAATGAACTGCCTCTGCACACATTACAGTTACTCATTTTCCTTTTCTTCTTTAACAGACGTCCACATTGTAGACATTTAAACCAGTTTGTTAGCTAGTGACGTCTTTTTGGCCCTCAGCACACCCCAATCATTACACCTTGGACCCCCAAGGTAAAGATTTGGGGACTTTTGGACTAGCATGTTGTTTAATGAACGTTCATAGACGGCAGTATTTTAGCCTCTTTTTAAATTTTGTTTTTAAAATTTGTATTTAGTTTGCAGTAACTGTCCCAGAAACCGTTTATTAATAATTAAATTGTGTCTCTTGTTGCGTCTTCCGTCTGAGCCAAAAAATGAAGTGTTTTGGAGAAAAGACAGCTGCTGTGACATTTCACAGAAAAGGATCTCAGACTGTCTCGGCTCTTCTGGTTGGCGTGTGACCACAGTGTTTTGTCGTCCGTCTTGTGTGGATTTAGGCGTTCATTACAGCTGAGCAGCAACTCCATCTGTATGACTGAGCCAGCAGTTCTGCTTCACAAACCTCTCTCCCTCTCTCTCTCCCTCTCTCTCTCTCCCTCCCTATCTATCTCTCTCTCGCTCTCTCTCCCTCTCTCTCTCCCTCTCTCTCTCTCCCTCCCTATCTATCTCTCTCTCGCTCTCTCTCCCTCTCTCTCTCTCCCTCCCTATCTATCTCTCTCTCGCTCTCTCTCTCTCTCTCTCTCTCTCCCTCCTCTCCTCTCCTCTCCCTCTCCCTCTCCCTCTATCTCTATCTCTATCTCTATCTCTCTCACACTCTCTTGCTCTCTCGCTCTTTCTCTCTCTCTGTCTCTCAATCAATCTCTCTATTCCCCTCTCTCTCATCTCTCTCTCTCTCTCTCTATTTCTCTCTTTTTCTCACTCTCTCTATTTCTGTCTCTCTCATTCTGTCTTTCTCACCTCTGTCACCCCTCTCTCTCTCTTGTTCACTGTTTTGCACTCTCTCTCTCCCTCTCTCTCACTGTCCTTGCCTCCCTCTCTGCCTCAGTCTCTTTCTATTCTCCTCTTACTCATCTATCTTTCTCTCTCTCTCTCTCTCACACTCACTCACTCACACTCTCTCTCTCACTCACTCACTCACTCACTCTTTCCCTCTCTTTCTTACTCTCTCTCTTCCCTTCTCTCCACCCTTGCACTCTCACACATTCACTCCCTTTCCCTCCCTCTCTTGCTCTCTCTCTCTCTCTCTCACTCGTTGTTCTCACCCTCTCTCTTTTTCCTCTCTCTCCTCCTCTCTCTCTGCTTCTCTCTCCCTCTCTTTTTCTAGCTCTCTCTATTTTGGTCTGTCTCACTCTCTCTCTTTCTCACCTCTTTGTCACCCCCTCTCACTCTTGTTTGCTGTTTTGCTCTCTCTCTCTCTCTCTATCTTTCTCTGTCTTTCTCTCTCTCTCTCTTTCTCTCTCTCTCTCTCTCTCTCTCTCTCTCTCTCGCTCTCTCTCTCCACCTTGACATCTGAAATATTTTCTGTGGTCTAGATAAACAGTGTCATTTGTCATCTCCGGATGGAGAGAGTGGCAGAGTGACAGACAGCTACATTTCCCCGAGAGCCGGCGCGCTCTGTGGAGAGCTCTGATACGGCTCTGTTAGAGCAGCTCCAGCCCTGCTGTGCGAGTGCCTCTGCTGTCGCAGCGCTCTGTCTGGGGCTTTTTATGAATATGTATGTTTGTGTTTGGTCTCACTCATGATCTTATTATGTGGCGCAAATTCATTAATTCTGTGCATTTGAGTGCAAGAAATGAATTCCATACAGAGTCAGTAAGTTTAGTGGGTGAAGCGCTTTATCCCAATTGTTTTCTCTTTCTCATTACTTTTGTGTTTGAATTAAAGCGATACTTTGGTGAAAAAAATCAGATTTACACAAATTTCCCCATCCCTGAATGTAGTCTGTGAAACACGTTTGGTGTCTAAAGTTTGCTTCTTTGGTTTTGCACTGGAGCTACGAGGCTGGTGTGGATAGCAAAGTAGTGGAAGCTTATAGCTCAATAGTTAGCATTGTTTGTGCCTGTTTAGATGCCTGTTTTTTTTAGCTGTGCAACATGCTTTTGTTCATTTTTATTAGGTTTCTGTAATGATGGCATAATCAAAACGATATCAGAAGCAGTGCAACTGCACTAACATTTCTGCTATTTGTTTATTTATTCATTTATTTTAAATAAATGTTAGATTTCTCTGTAAAGCTGATCCATGGATTTAGTCCCAGATTCTGTTCTTTCTAAACGTTTGTGTATCAACATCAACATCCACATCAGCCGATACGTACATATTGGGCCAGAATTTCCGTATCGATGCCTCCCTAATTTCTTTCTTAACTTTGAATGGAAGATAATGGAAAAAGATTTTGTCCAGTGTTTTGTTCCAACAGTGATGATAAGCAGCTTGAGGTAAATGTGATAATTTAGCCATGCAGTTTGCACAGTGCTAATTGGTGGAGTATACAAACGTATCTTGGCTGATCGACTGCAGTTTTTTTTGCTGAATGATTGCTTTAAAGTGACATTGAGAGACTGCAGCTGTTTTCCGGCGACGGTGCTCATGCCGTTCCGGATCATTCTCGTGTTTGAACGCTCTGATCCTGTGCGCAGGGAGAAGAAGCTGTCTCGGACGAGCGCCCTGAAAGTTCTGGACCACAGCATGATCGGCCCTGAGGGCTCAGATAACTGCCACAAGTTTGTGGACATCCTGGGCCTGCGGACCATTTTTCCACTCTTTATGAAGACGCCCAAGAAGATGAGGAAAACAGGGATATCTGACAAGGAGCACGAAGGTACCACACAATGCTGTCATAATGAGTCTTACAGTTAGAGACTGAAAGACACGCCTGCAGTTTAACCCCTTAAAATGCCAGACTTAATACATACTGGCCATTTAGCGGGTTAAGGCAGTAATTCCTCTGTGATCCACTTGTTTTGTGTTCTTTACATGTTGACTAAGACCTCATCCATGTTGTTGGTATGATGTTTATTAGCGAGGTACTCTGCTTCTGTTTCTTGTGTGCGTGTGTGTGTATGTGTGTGTTCCTGCGCTGCTGCATTCAGTCCAGACAGTGAGTTTATTTACCTGCGGTTGGTAATGGGCACCGCGTCCCTGGGTGGCTCTGCTTTTCCCAGCAGCTCCTTGGCAAATTTCACGCTGATCGGTTCGTCATGGCTGCAGTGAATAAAAGCTCATTCTTGCCTTCTTGTTGCGGCCCCAGTAGTGCAGAGATTGGGCTGGACACCTAGTGCTGAGGAGACCTCTATATGCACAGGTTTACTGCACATTCTGTATGTTCTACTCTTTTTTTTTCAGTATCAGGTTCACTTAAGGAGGAATAGTGAATGTAGTTCCATGACAAGTTCCATTCTAACAGATTATAAATATATCTCACTATGCATCATCTGTGTCTGATCCCCTCGTACCAGCGCAACACACACTAACACACCAAAACCACATCAGTGTCACTGCAGTGCTGAGAATGATCCTCCACCCAAATAATACCTGCTCTGTGGGGGTCCTGACTATTGAAGAACAGGGTAAACAAAGTATGCAGAGAAACAGATGGACTACAGTCTGTAATTGTAGATCTACAAAGTGCACCTGTACAGTAAGTGGAGCTGACAAAATGGACAATGAGTGTAGAGACAAGGGGGTGTCAGTGGTTCCACGCATCTTGGAAAATCTGAAAAGCCTGGCGGTTTAAAGACTAGTTTTCCAATTTTGAAAGACACATGGAAAACTAAGACAATAGATAAAATGTCTTGGAAATATTAGGGAAGTCCTGGAAAAGTGTAAGATTGGGCCACGAAGCCACCAAGATTGAGTATTTCAGCATATATTTAGCTGCTTATGGCCAGTTTGAGTGTCCGTTTATACAGTTGTATGCAAACGTTTCTGTCTGCAGGAATTTCTTATCACTCCAACGTGGAAGGGCAGCTGAACTGCTGCAGGGGTTGTTGCTGAAAGGGTGTTCGTATGTAAATGTCTTCATTGTGACATCACAACACATGACTTGATTGGGTGGTCATATGTAAACGTATTTAATGTGACATTACAGCATATTATCTAAAGAGCTGGTCATATTTAAGTGTATTCATAGTGACATGACAACCTGTGGCCTGAATGGTTATATGTACATGTGTTCATTGTGACTTCATGCCCCTTGTCAAACGACATATTTCCAGTAAAGTGGCCAGTCAGTAGAAGTATAGGGTAGGTGTTTCTAATAAAGTGGCTAGTGGGTGGAAGAACAAGGTGGGTGTTTCTGATAGAGTGGAGAGTGTGTGGAAGTACAAGAGAGGTGTTTCTAATAAAGTGGCCACTGAGTGGAGGTACAAGGTGGGTGTTTCCAATAAAGTGGCCTGTGAGTGGAAGTACAAGGTGGGTGTTTCTAATAAAGTGGCCACTGAGCAAAGTACAGAGTAGATGTTCCTAATAAAGTGGCCAGTGAGTTGAAGTACAAGGTGGTTGTTTCCAATAAAGTGGCCAGTGAGTGGAAGTATAAGGTGGGTGTTTCTAATAAAGTGGCCAGTGAGTTGAAGTACACAAGTTTCTGATAAAGTGGATGACGAGTGTCTTTTCTTTGTTGCTACTTTTTCTTACTTATGTTGGATTTTAGTGCTTAGAGCAGAACTGTTTACCCTTGAAGGTGAGAATACTTGTCGTCATTTCGCTCCGAGTTTCATTCTTAATTGGATTATTTTAGTGTTTTCTTCTTTTTTAGTGACTCCATTGCGATGGTGTGCTGAGCGCTGGGCTAATTGAAAGCCAGTGAGGATGAGGTGGTGCTCCGGGAGCACAATGCTGCCAAACACGTTAATTAGTCAGCAGCCATTCTTATTACAAACGAGTCTTTTTGAAGTAATTAAAAAGGGACGCTCTTGTGCTGAATGGTAAACGCCGAGATTGATCCTGCAAAATCCCGTCTGAAATTCACACTTCAGCAGGAGGAGGGATTAACGAGCATCAATTTGCATCTGTAACGAGCTCATTAAGAAAACGCTCACTAATAATAGATCTAACATTTTTCTGTCAAACAATTGAGTCGCCTGAAGAATCGCGAAGGAACACTGTCTACTCCAGCGGAAGGCACACGCAGTATCAGTAACGTTTGTTTTTTTCCTCTCGCTTCAGTCTTTGCTCTCTGGACTGATTTTCAGGGGCTTTATGAGGGAATGTTTTCTACCGTTACATGGTTTACTTACAGTATTGGCTGTTGCTGGTAGACTCTTCTCACTTCAGCAGGATTATTCTACACTGATATTGCAACACATTCAGAAATGAATCTGGGGCTGTATTACAGAAACCTCCTATCTTTAGTTATCTAGTGTTGCTGACTCAACCTGCTCCAAGCGCGTCCCAGTCTTTTATTAGTTTCATGCAGACATATTAATATGGTTTACATGTTATGACCTCCATACAGGGGAACAGCCCTTGTGAACTTTTACGTCAGCACAATATGTGTTATCATTCCACGCAAGATGACCAAAGGCAGGACTTAGTGAATTTTCAAACACACAAACGGTGCGTAAGGTAACTCGGCAGAGAAGCTAAGCTATTGTACATGGAAAATCAAAACAGGATCCAATAATGATTTTAACAGCCAAATTTTAAGCACAAATCAGCCCCATCCGTGTATGTTTAAACCGGAGTACCCAAATAGGGTTGCGATGGTAAGGTGGGCCCAGGGTTTGGTATGTATCACGGTTTTTGGGCCAAGGTAACAGTACGGATTTGGTATTTTTATATTTAAGAAATAATTAAAACATCACCCTTTAAACAATGAACTCTTTATTTTGCGTGTAGACAAATAAAACTTTCCATTCAGAAAAATGGCAGCATGGCTGACTACACTCTTAAAAAAAGATGGTTCTTCAAGTGTTCTTTAGTAAAGAAAATGGTTCTATATAGAACCATGAGCACTCAAAGAGCCCTTTGCATGATTAAAGGATTCTTTGCATCGTGAAAGTGTTTTTCAGATTGGAGCAGAATGTGCTGTAGATGGTTCTGTATAGAACAATTTTGAAAAGGGTTTCTATATAGCACCAAAAAGCGTTCTTCTACTGTTATGATATCAATCTTGTAAAAAATAGAAGAACCCTTAAAGAACCGTTTTGGTGCTATATAGTGTTTATGGTTCTATATAGAACCTTTTTTTCTGAAAAACCCTCATTTTTAAGAGTGTAGGTCTGGTTTCTGTCTGTGCTGTATGAAATCAAGGGGAGCAAAACATTCAAATTAAACATACTTCTTAGCTTTGACGACCTGCAGGTGCTCTGCCTTCTTATTTTAAATAATTAAAGAGAGCTGGACAGGGTGTCTGTCGGTTTGTCTTTTATTTCTGTCTGTGATGTTTCATAGAGATTGGGAATTACTTTGCTGCTGAAATGTGTGCAGGAGAGGATACTGGAAAGGCCACTGTGCAGCGTTGCGGAGCGGTGCTATAGAATGCCAGCAGGGCTAATTAAAGCCAGGTTCAAGTTCATTTTTTACACTCTACTTGTATAAATTGAATGACATAAAGCGTTCAGCATCACTTATCATGCTTGGGATCAGTTTACCACCTCTTCATAGACTGGCTGTTGAGCTGAAAGATACGAGCTAAAGAGGGCTAGGCTGGTAACATTGGTGGAGGTAACTTACCATTAGGGTTTGTCTGTTTACCTAAAAGACTGGCTGCGGCAGTCGCAAGCCCTTCATTAAAAACAAAGGATTCGAATTTGCGTTTGATGTGTGGTGGCCTTAACTTCTCTCTGTCTTTCCAGCGCTCGCCATTGTCACGTTGAAGCTGAGGGAGTATTTGTTTTTAGCTCCCCCTTTCTTCTCCAGCTTGCATTTGCATACTAAGCACTCATAGGCTCCAGGGAAATCCTGATAGGCTCCAGAGATGTTCTGTGGATCTGTATGTGCACTGTGCATGTGGTCTGCAGCACAATAAGCAAGTTTTGGAAACTATAGGAAAACAACAGGCATATTGTAATACTGTGGTTCATGTGTGTGTATTGAACTGTAGGGTGCAAACCAAACGGTTCGACAATATACCATATACTGTTGTATCCCTAGTAAGCATGTGAAGAAATGCGTCAGCTGGATGCTGGACCCAGCAGTGAGTTGCCGGACATACACGTGACTCCTCATAGGACGAGAATTAGGTTTACTCGTGGCGAGTGGCAGGTGATTCCTACCCGAGGTGGAGTGTCTGCTGTAAGGAATGGGAAAGATCTGTTTATTTCTACGTATGACATTCACCGATCAGGCATAACATTATGAGCACCTCCTTGTTTCTACGCTCATTGGGTGTATATGTATTTGTGCAGTACTGTGCAAAAGCCTTAGGCGCCTAAGCGGGTTGAAGGCCATTTATATCAGGAGTCAGTATATATCAGTTTTTCAGTTTTTGACATAATTTGAAAATGCCTGGTGCCTTTTACATTGCATGCAAATATCATGATGAATGAACCAGAATTATTTGGAAAAAAGTCTGGTTACACTGACTTACATTTAAAGTAAAGTAGGTTTTTCCCTTCTCCTGTAAAGTTATCACTTTGGAGATATGAGGTTTTGTTCTGGCAGCTGTGACCATGTAACTGACCACCATTCATATTTTCAGAAAAGTAGTTGATATCTTGAACACATGCTGCGCTCCAGCCATTGCCTGCTTTGGTAAAAATCTATCACCAGCACTCCTGATTTCATCTAATGAATGGTTGCAGAATGAATTCACTACAATTGATTCTCATGGAGAAAAGAAACATTTACGTACATAAAATCATTCCTTTTGTATTTATT